TTGCTTTCTTGGCGATTTCACAAACGCATCTTTTCCTTTTCTGTAAACACAAAGGCTTATCTAATTGTTTTAGAACAAATATTCCTTAATATAGAAGTTATATTTCTGTAGCATTTCTTCTTAGCACTACATTGAACCGACACATGGTATAATGTTATCAGATTCAACTTTCTCAGGTTTTCAATGTTCCTAGCAGCCATTTATTTAATTGTCTAATTAAAGTATTTGAGGATCCCGTTTTCAGACAGCCTGATAGCACAATGGAATAAGATCATAGTCTCCATTTGACACATTTATAGTTTATGAGTATTTATTGCACTATTATTTTGTAAATCTTAAGTTTCTGTTACTAATAACTAATAAACAAATCATATATTGTAAAATTTAATTGCATAATAAAGGTTTAGTGGACACAATGTTTATACAAATTGAAATAGTTACAGGAGTTGATTCTTTTTTAAATGTTGATAATAGCTATGTGCTTCTTTAAAATGCAGCAAAAAACGGGTGACAACTAAAAAACGAGACTGGATTTAAAGACACATATCTCTTTAAGGAAATAAGATAAAACAGAAAGGAAAAATGTTCTAGAAAGTATTTTTATTTTAGTTTTTAAATATAAAATTTAAAGATTTTCTGCATGCCAATTACACTTGTAGACAAGGTCTTTCAAAATACTGAAAATTTTTTCGATAGGACGACATTCTGGAAAGATTGCAGGGTTATCTCAACTCTTACCGCTTTCTTAACATAATGCACGTTTTCCTTGTTTAGGTACATGATTACAGTTTTTGCATAGTAAGATGATGCTAAATCTGGCCAGAATACATATGCACCATCTGAATGATACTTATTGATAAATGGAATAAGTCTTTTCTTAATACATTTGTTTAAATAGATTTTTTGATTTACAGCCAGTCCACTTTGTACAAAATAAGGTTGAGAAATTCCATTTTCAGAAAAAGCAATCCATAGAAGTTATTTCTTTTGAAACTTTTTGTTTGTTTGTTTGGTATTTAACTGTAGATGGAGTAGATTTTACATCACTAGTATAAAATCATTTCCATTGATACTGGAGTAATTTAACGTGAAATAAGACTCATCTTCAATGACTGGTTTACGATTTTTGAATTTCTGACACAATCGACCGCATTTTTTTCTTGATTTAATATTTGTTTTTTTTTAAATTTGTTTTACTTATGTGTTTCTAAGTACAGTTGAACTTTTTAGCTGCCTGTCATTGAGAAACTCTGTCTTTATAGTCAAACATGAGTGTGAGCCTTTCAATGTTTGTCCTATCCTTTTTTTAGCTTTTACTCCACTTTCTTGAACTCTTTGGTACCCAGGTTCACTTTCAGCATGTTTAATTATCTTGTAGATAGTACTTTTAGATATATTCTCAACTTTAAAGTGGTCATGAGTGAACTTTTTACCAGCGTTTTTGTAATTTAAATAAAATTCATACACACGTTTTCTAATCTTTTCTTGTTTTGAATATGTTTTTTTATTCATTTTGCTATAAAAAATAAAAACACATAAAAAAATTAAAAACTAGAATAAAAATAGCTTCTAAAACAGTTTTCCTATTTTTAAAATCTTATTCCTTTAAGGAGATATGTGTCTTTAAATCCAGTCTCGTTTTTTAGTTGTCACTCCTTAAAAGACCCAAACATGGTCAAACAATGGTAGGTCTTTATACTTTTTTAATATTTTAGGTTTAATATATCAGGTTTCAAATTCAATGCAAGTTTTGTAAAGTTAGCATTCAAGTGACTCCCCCTCAATGCAATGTAATATGTTAATGTGTATTTTTCTATGTAAATTTTTAGGGTAGAACTGAATACTCAACACAATGAACTTCACTGTTTTAAGAATAATAAAGAGAAGCAAAATCCTATAGAGTAAGTGAAAGTTTTATTATATAAGATTTAAATTAGTAAAAATATAAAATCACATAGTAAAGATTTTCATTTTGGAGATGATGTAAGACAATAAAAATCATTATATAATTTTTTATGTTGTCTAAAATATTAAATTGGGTAATTTTCAAAGCTGTTATTTTTTTATTAATTTTAACAAGAATTTATTAATTATTCTTTTATTGAATTTTATTGTTTATATGTTTTAAGGAAATTAGTTTTGCATGGGGCTGGCATTTCATTTGGAAAAGCAAGTGAAAATGAGTTCATTATCAAGTAAGTTTTTTATATTTTTAAATATGAGATTTTTTTAAAGGAATTTTTAATTTCTTTATGGAAATCAAGTATATTTAAATCAAACAAGTATAAACAAGTATAAAACATCAAACAAGTATAAACAAGTAGATTAAAGTAAGACTTGTACTTTGTTGAATTCTTGTATTAAACACTTGTGTTACACATTTGTGTTAAAAGCTTTTGCATGTCCTATTGATGTTGACTCAGAATGGAAGTTATAATTGTGGATATTTTTTGCATAAACATTTAATCTTTATCTTTTTTTATTTGAGTTTGATATATGATATATACATATATGTTGTTTCAGAGTTGACACAATCTGCTGTGTTTTTATTTTTCTGTTTTTTTTTTTTTTTGCAGTTTTTTAATTTTATGTTTAACTTGCTTTGTTTTTTTTAGTAAATATTGATATTTTTCTTGTTAACTTTTTATTTGTTAACTTTTATTTTATGTTAACTTTTATTTTATTATTTTTTTAGTATTCGTGGCTGTGAGTACAAATGTTATGCAGAAAGCCATAAGTTAATGGTGAAGTGGACAAATGTACTCAAAGTAATAATTTTTATTTTATCTGATAATCATTCTTAATTTAAAAATAGTTAATTTCAATTATTTGTTTTCAATTATAATTTTAAAAGCGTAATATAAAAATTATGAAGTTTATTATAAAATAAGCGAAGTCTGGTATACCAAAGGCATAGGTAAGATGTGGGTTGAGACTTTTGAAAAATTTAGACAGAAGTGTAGCATAAGAAACAGAGGGAGGGCGAAAATGTTTTACTTCTATGTTATATAAGTTTTTCATAAATGATTTTGAAATTATTAGTGAATTTAATTTGCATTTTACTTTTTTAAAAGTTCATTAATAAAAATAAATCATTTTATGAGTAACAGTTGTTGAATCATGATCGAATCATGATTGAGTCATTATTGAATCCATTTCAGTCAGATGCACTGTATCACTACCCAAGTTTAATGAAATTTTCTAAAGCTTTGTCTGGTGCTTGTTTAAATTCATCTTTGATTTGTGACTTTAATCGAAAATACATATTTGGAAATATTTTACAATATTGGCAGTAGGTTCAAAGTGAATAGTTCTATTCTAGATTTTATACAGTTGATGTTAATTTAAAAGTTAAAATTTTAATTTTAATATAAATTTCAAATTTTTATAATTATTTTTTATTTACATAATAAATAAAATGGTATTTATTAATTTATCTTTGTTATGTAATTTTATGTTTTTTGTTAATTGTATAGAAACAAATTACAATGAAGCCATTAAACAGTGAATCTAGAGCGTTAGATGTAGTTCCTGAAGATGTAAGTAGCTAATCTTTTAGTTTTTGGTTTAGAAACTTAAAAACTTAAATTCTTTTAATTTACAGGGTTAAAATTATAGTTATAAACTTATGTTTTTATTGTTTTCATTGTTTTAGGAAATCTTAGAAGTCAAAGATATTAAAGAAGAAAATTTTAAAGTTGAAGACAAAAAAAAGCAAGGTTGTTATTTCTTGTTTTATATTACTATTTTGTTGTTGTTGTTTTATTTTCAAATTACTAGTTAATTAGTTAAGTTGTAAATTCTTTTTTATAAATTTTTTTTGTTTCATAATTTTGATTTTTAAGTGTCAATAAAAAAGAATAATTCTTCTTTAGGAAATTTTTTTAATCGTCTATTTAATCGGATTTCAATGCGATCAACTCCAAAAATCAACACACCTGATACTATCAGCAAAAATAAAAAAGTTGTTAAACCTGCACCATTGCGGTAATTTTATTAAAAATTTTATTAAAAACGCTTTAGTTTTTTCATTTTTAATATTTGTTTCAAATTATGATTTATATATAACTACAGTGGCGTAGGAAGATTTTTAAATGTTTGAAATAACCAACTTATAAACAACATGAATATTTCAAATTTTTTTACATTTATATGTATGACGAAAAGATTCTTTTAAAAAAAATTACTGTGGCAGGAGAATGGGAATAAGAAATCCCTCTCAATTTGAGGAAGTTGCAAACTTTATATGGTCATAATTTTTGAACACTAAAGTATTTTACTATGAAATTCAAAATTTTTTGATAAATATTGTTGTTTATAAGTTGGTTATTTCAAACATTTAAAAAACTTCCTTCGCCACTGTATAACTATGTTTAATTGTGTGACTTTAGAACTGTTGTAGGATCCATGCAAGACATATCTAACAAACCAGTATGTTTGTATCAAATTTAATGTTTTAAAATTCTTTTTATGGCTATTTTATCGTATATATCAACATGTATATTTTATTTTTTATAGTTCTTACTTAAGGGTGTATACATTTTATTTTTTTATTTCTATTGTACATAAATTAGGGTAATAACAAAAGATTTTTTTATGAAACCACTTGCAATTAAGGGAACCTTTTGTGTTAATTTAGAATAAAAATGGCATTTTTGATTTTGATTTTTAAAATCCCCCTCCTTTTTGGAAAAAAAAACTGAAAAAATGTCTTTTTTCAAGAAAGAGACATGCTAATTCAGCATTATTCAAAAGAGTAACTAAGCAACTTTTGTTAACAAATAAGATACAAAACAGTTAGTAATATGTACAAAATATACAAGAAATGTTTAAAAAATATTTTTTCTATGAACTTTAGATTTAAAAATGCAATTTTTTTCGAATTTGCATGAAGATCCTCCATCAGTTTTACAGCATGTTCAGCAATTTAGTTAGATCTGGGAATGTCTATTAATGACTCTTCTATTGACCAATGTGTCTTTAAACACTTAATTGCCTTCTTGCATTTTATCTTGATGAGTGAGAAAAGGAGTTCATCCAAGGAGGTTTCATTGTAGTGTTGCAAATGGAACTAAGCATTTGCTCATTCGTAGCAGATGAAGTTGCATGCTGGAGCAAGTTAGAATCAGAATGAATGCTATATCAGCATATATCGCACATGAGTTCCATCTTGCCTGATGTACATTTGGGAGTTTCTTCCAGCTGATTCGAGGTCAATGTGAAGTTGTTTGATTATGACAATAAGCCTGACATAATTCGTATAAAAACTTGAAATCATCTGGCCATTCTAGGGTTCTTGCCAGTGTTAACATTTTATGTCGCAACAAGGTGGAAATCAGCCTAGTTGCAACAGATGATTTTATTTACTAACTATCAATAAAGGAGTAGTTGAAGACAGCTTTTTGTTAATTTATCAATGAAGAAGTAGTTGAGTTCTGGTTTGCTTGTTGGCTCTTGATTAAGAAAATTCATGACATGTTTCAGGAGAATGTCAAGTATATGGTGTTGACAGCCAATATTTTGTGGTTTCTGAAAGCCCTTGCTCAAAACATCATCTTGTATGAGCTTTACAATTACGTACAAATGACCAGTATTTACTGCGGTCATGTCACAGATTATCATGCAAATATTTATCCAAGCATTGTATTCATCTATTAGCTGATGTAGTTCCTTGTGAATGGCTGATGTAGTTCCTTGTGAATGGCTGATTTAGTTACTTGTCTTCATAGTCTTACAAATGTTTTCAAAAAATTTTTCTTTACCTTTGAAACTATTTTTATATTTAAGTTCAATCTTGCTTTCCTCTTTGTTTAGCATCCTTAAAAATCTGTTGCTAATCCTTAACAATCTCTTATAGCAATTTAAATATTATAACAGCATTTAGAAGTTTTTCTTGAAAAGTTTTCATGGAAAGATATTGCATGCAATGATATTTCTTTAAAGGTTTACATTGAAAAATACAATATGCAATTGTTTATCTTGAAAAGTTTTCATTTAAAGGTACAACATGCAATCTTTTTGTTTGAAATGTTTTCATTAAAAGATACAACATGCAATGGTATTTAAAGCAATAAAATTATTCACATAGCGTTGGTTTTTTACATTTTTTTATTCTCAAAAAGAACCTAAAGATAAAACAGAGTTTGTGAATGAGGTAATATTTGTATCGTGGTCAGAATCAAAAAACCAGATTCAAAGTTCAAAAGTTAGAAGCAAGCACTGTACACCACTGTTGGATTTTTTATGAAATAAAAAAATTCAATTAAAAAATTATTTTTTTTTAATATCTGGCTAAAAAACTTATTTTTTATTAATAAAAAGAATGCAAGATTCGATGAGACTTAAATTGTTTATTTTTTATGTTTGAAAACACAAGGATTAGTGGAAATAGATTAGTGGAAATAAGGAATAATCCAGAAAAAAAATTCAATAAAGTTAAGATTTAGTATATCTATCCTGAAACATGTCTAGAGTCACCAAAAAAAACGCCCTATTGTTTAGGTCACGGGAAGGTCCCAATTTGGGCCAAAAACGGGGTACCTAGTGGGGAAAATCGAATAACCTAAAAATACACTTCCAATATACTGTTGGGAAGATAATTTAATGCTGATTAATAATTATATAAAAATCATATTTTGAAAATTTGTTCCTTTTAAGTTGTATCAAAAAGTTCATTTTATTAATCGTTGCTATTAGAATTAATTATTCAGAAGGAATTAGCAAAAAATAATGTTGGAAACCCAAACAAAAATAGTATAAAGCTTAATTTTGGCAGAGATAAGGTAGACAACCTTTGAATGAGCATAAAAAAAACCCCATTAATTGCGTTATGGGAACATCTTTTTTGGGACAATTTTTGGGGCAAAAAAAGGTCGATATTTGACACTTTGAAAATCTTATTAACTGTATGTGGTTAGATATAAATTTTTATGCTGATCAATACTTATATAAGAACTATGAATTAAAAACAATTATTTAAAAAGTTATTTGCGTTTTAAAAGTACACTTTTATATAAACATATACATAAAAAACATCAAATGTTCATTTAAATAATCCTTGCTATATTGCTTGTATTATAAGCTAGTGTGAGTTTATGCAGAAAAGTATAACAATATATGCAGTACAGTACTATGCAGAACAGTATAAATTGAGTCAAACAAAGAAAATGCTTGAGAAATTTTAAATTAAATTAAATCATCGAATAACTTGCTATCTAAATTTTTTTTGATAACTTCAACTGAGTTGTTACCCTGGAAAGTATAAGCGTCATAGATATTATAAGAATTCTAAAATCATGTTTAGCAAAAATAATGAAATACTATACGCAGCTTTGTTTTAAATAATACTTTTTACGTTTTCATTATAGCTACCCTATCCATGATAACCCTCTCCATAACAACCACCACAAACATCCATGCATTTAATTCCATGTTTTCTACATGTACATAAAATTATTCCGCATTGATTCTTTGAAGAACTTTTACATTTACAATGTATAACTAACAATAGATTTTGTGGCGCAAGTTCTTTATCAGTTGCGATTGGGTGAAGAATCCCATTTTTATTCGTCCAGCCCCATTCTTCTGGTTTTAAATTCTTGTTATCATCAAGCAGCTTCCAGGTTATTATTTGCAAATGCACACGAATCCGTGGAAATATGCTGTTCTTTCAGTTGGTAGCATCTTTTTAGGCTTTAAAAGTCCATTACATGTCATAGGTATTTTGTGTACCTATATAAAAGTATATTCGAAGTTTATGTTTAATAAATTTTTATAGAAAATTTAATAAATTTTTATAGAAAATTTAATAAATTTTTATAGAAAGTTTAATAAATTTTTATAGAGAGTTTAATAAATTTTTATAGAAAGTTTAATAAATTTTTATAGAAAGTTTAATAAATTTTTATAGAAAGTTTAATTAATTTTTATAGAAAGTTTGATAAATGTTAATGCAATGTTATAAAAGTTATAGGTTTCATTGTTGCTTCCATCATAAGGTTTGATTGTTGCTTCCACCATAAGGTTTCATTGTTGCTTCCACCATACAACTCTTTAAATATTTCTATTGAATTTTCACCAACATTAGATTGATTTGCTTGATAATCACTTATAGACTCTGCAATAGCCTGAAGTTTTTTGGATTTTTTCATCAAATTAAAAAGACTTACTTTTCCTTTTCCAAATATTGTGGATGTTGTATCACATCCAGACCTAGCATGGATAAAGAGCAAATAGTCTTTCATGCTTCCAATATTAGACTGGCAATCTTTGATACTCCAATATTTTTTACAGTGTTCTTGTAAAAATATTATATCAAATAATTCTCTTTTCCAATAAACAAGCAACATGACAGCAATATCTGTGTCATCCGCAACTATAACTACTTTTGAATATTTTGATAGCTCTAATGCCAATGCTACAATTTTAGTGTCAGCATTGCCTTGACAAGTATGTACTTCTTGATTATCTTTCTGCAGTGGCCAAAAATGTTATCAGTTCTTTTTTATTGTGCGCGTTTGACAAAAAGTCTTCTTGTGAATATGGAACAACAATATTTTCTTTGATGTTTATATTGTTAGCAGACCATTGTATATATCTTCTTGTATTCTCATTTGATTTAGTTGTTATCTGTTCGTAGCCATCAAAAATTATAATAGCAGATCCCTAATTTTTCCTGATATATGTTAAATATGTTTTTGCTAAATTGCCAAATTGTATCCCTTTTATCCTATGTGTGCCATGTAACAGTGCACCGCCATCGACAACAAATTTATAGCTGGTCGAATTTAGATAAGACAATATGTCATTTTGTTTCAACAGTATCTTCCTCAAGGACGATTTATCAGCATTTTGCATTAGATCTTGCGTGAGTAAGGATTGTGGAGTAGTTGGCAACTCATACATAAATATTGCTCCACACTTTCCCCCTCCTTCGGCTGTAGCTGCTAGTCTTGTAAATAAAATTGTTGAGTTCAAACAAACAGATTTCCTATCGTTTATTTTAATAGTATTCATTACTGAATTGAGTGCTTTTATTTGATCATGTCTTCTTATTTTTGCATTTGGCAACAACAAATTATTTAGACCTTCATTAATGGTGAAACCTATTATCTCAGCTCTTTCACAATTTACCTCATCTTTATCAATAACTGAGCTAAGTCCTGTTGATAATGAATGCAAATGCGTGTCTTCAAATAAAAACGGATTTCTGGCACCCAACCAGCTTACAAAGCTTTCAAAGTCTTTTAAATCTTGAGATCTTCTTGAAAACTGCATTTCGCTCGAGTGGATAGATATTCCAGACATTTTAACCTTTGCACCATACAGTACAGCACTAAATGGTAAACTTTAGTCCCACAGATTTCTGACACTATCTTCTCCCTCTTGTCAAATCATCTTTACTTTTTATACTTCGCATTCTATAGAATCAG